GTGTATATATTTCAAATTCGTATCCGTATATGATCAGTCGGGACTGAGATCCACAATAATATAATTCATATGATGAAAACTTCATTTAGATAGCTATATCCTCACAAAAGGAGTGAGTTCATTCGTTTTCACGATCAGTGTGAGTGTAACATTTAATCTATGTTTAAGATCTTTAATTATTCTCAATGTGTTTCTACAAAATCTCATCCATTAGCGGTTATTTAACATTCCATACTATATAAGTCAAATGAATGTATTATATACAGATTGCATGAACATATATTCATATACTGTATATCATTTAACGGCATACATTGTAAGTTATTTACTCCAAGGGAAAGCCATGGTGACAGGTGTGAGCTCAGACCTTGGTAGTAAGCCGACATCAGATCCCGTAGCCAATCTTGCCATCAGGCAGTGTGTCCTCAACTCAACAGGAATGGTAATGAATCCCGTGAAATTAGTTTATTTTTCAACATTGCAACACTTGTCTATATAATGCCGGTATTGCTGGAGTCTTCCTCTCCACCCCTAATCGTTCCCTCCCATCAGCTCGGTCCAGATATGGGCCTGGATAGGATGGCCGTCGGCGCTAGTGTGAGCCTGCTCTCCCCGCCTGATCTGGGCTCTGCCGTCTTCGTCGCTGCCACCACAACCTGCCCGGTGCCCTCCACGCTCAAAATCACCGATTACATTAAGTGCATCAAGAAGGCATGCATAGCCAATGCTGTGGTTCCGGGCATGGCGCCGTCAGGCATGGCTGTTCCTACTTTGTCTGTCCGCGATATTGCCACTCCAACCTTTTTCTAGGAGCTGATTGTTGATAATGGTGATTGAGATGATGATGGGACTTTGCTATTCAGTAAATCTGAGTCTTAACTGGATTTTTTATATGACCTAACGGTTAAAAAGAAAAAAAATCCTTAAGCTATGTTGGATAATCATTCATAAATAAGTGCACACACACATATACATGAACACATACATACATATATACATATACGAACACACATTTACGTGTGTGAGAGGGAGGCAGCTCACTGGCATGCAAATAACACTGAAAGCTAATACATGGCGGGTTCCACAATTATTCTACACGTTAGATATATATAAAGCATGTTACCAACAGCGTTTATATTGAAAAATAGGTATGAACTAATATATCTGAAAGGGAAAAAGCATCTTCCCTGACATTCAAATTCTAATATGTGTTCGAAAGAGCAAACCAGACAGCTTGTTTTATAATACACAGGCCCTTGTAAAGAAACATGAGGTCCTAGTCGCCTACTGACGTCTCCTTTCTTTATTCACATTCAGAAACTGCCATTTCCCCAACTTCTACCAGCAAAGTTAATACTGGAACTGGCAATTGTCACAAGCGAACGAAAACAGTATGCCTGGCTACATGGAGAAGCGATCTCCACAGTAGGGGATGGACTAGAAGTCCATTAACGATCTGCAGTATCATTAGCAAAGTGAAACTGCACACGCTGTTGTAACATAGGACCATATTCATCTTAAACTTTATAATATTTGCGAATCATACTCCAAAGTTAGTCCCCGATATGCTGTTCGACAAGAGCCATGCTCCTAGAATGACTCCAGCCATTTTATTGTCGTTCTGATTGACTTTAAAAGGATTTCCACCACTGCAAAATTATATAATTTATCAAAAGTACAGCAATATCTTGTTTTCAGATAATTCTTTTAGATGAGTATAAGATAGTATAAGATCTAACACGTTTTCTATCAGTTATTATTAGCTATGCATGTTATATATTTTGTAACAATTTACTATATTTATGATGTTATGAATGAAATATTCTGCATCCTCCCTTAAACTTCTCTGTGTGAACTGATGAGTAGCTAAATTTATATACGTAATAGCCAGGTCAGTGGTACTACAACCGCGGTAAATGAGTTATCTCTTATTAATTATCCCAAAATAAAATACTTTCATCTACGTTATTTTTCTGAAACACTGATTTCAACACATGTACGCTGAAAATTATTAAAAACGTAAACTTTCTGTTTCTCACTCATTGTATACCCTTTATCCCTGTTAAACATTTTAGATTCGTGTACGCTAAAATATGAACAGTTAAAGGGATACTAAAATAGAATTGCCGAAGACAGATTCGTTGTTATACATGAATGTATTGAATGATTCTAGATAAAGTATGTATATATATATATATATATATATATATATATATATATATATATATATATATATATATATAGAGAGAGAGAGAGAGAGAGAGAGAGAGAGAGAGAGAGAGAGAGAGAGAAGAGAGAGAGAGAGAGAGAGAGAGAGAGAGAGAGATGGGGGGAGGGGGACTGAGTGAGTGGGATAGAAAGAGAAAGGCAGATATATCGATAGATAGAAAGATGTGAACTTTGACTCCACTTCAGCCTCTCAGATTGTTTGAAACTTGGAACATTATATATTTCAGATATCATATATCACAATATTGGTGTCACTGGCTTTCTCGTTCTT